AGTTTGCAGATGACATCAAGTTGTGCGGTGTAGTGGACACGTGGGAGGGAAGGGAGGCCATCCAGAGGGACCTTGACAGGCTGGAGAGGTGGGCCTGTGAGAACCTCATGAAGTTCAACAAGGCCAAGTGCAAGGTCCTGCACGTGGGTCGGGGCAATCCCAAGCACAAGTACAGGCTGGGCGGAGAATGGATTGAGAGCAGCCCTGAGGAGAAGGACTTGGAGGTGTTGGTTCATGAGAAGGTCAACATGAGTCAGCCATGTGCACTGGCAGCACAGAAAGCCAACCGTGTCCTGGGCTGCATCCAAAGCAGCGTGGGCAGCAGGTCAAGGGAGGGGATTCTGTCCCTCTACTCAGCTCTCATGAGACCCCCCCTGCAGTGCTGCGTTCAGCTCTGGGGTCCCCAACACAAGGAGGACAGGGAGCTGTTGGAGCGGGTCCAGAGGAGGCCACAAAGATGATCCAAGGGCTGGAGCATGTGTCCTACGAAGACAGGCTGAGAGAGTTGGGATTGTTCAGCCTGGAGAAGAGAAGGCTCTGGGGAGACCTTCTAGCAGCCTTCCAGTACCTAAAGGGGCTACAAGAAAGCTGGAGAGGGGCTTTGGACAAGGGCAGGTAGTGACAGGACAAGGGGCAATGGCTTTAAACTGAAAGAGGGGAGATTTTGACTAGATCTAAGGAAGAAATTCTTCCCTCTGAGGGTGGTGAGGCACTGGAACAGGTTGTCCAGAGCAGCTGTGGCTGCCCCATCCCTGGAAGTGTTCAAGGCCAGGTTGGATGAGGCTTTGAGCAACCTGGTGTAGTGGAGGGTGTCCCTGCCCATGGCAGGGGGTTGGAACTAGACGATCTTCAAGGTCCCTTCCAACTCAAATCATTCAGTGATTCTATGAAAACAATATCAGAAATGTCTTAGGCCTGGATGAATACATTTTGTCTGGTCGCCCTCCAGGAACCACAGAAGTTCTCTGTGCAGCATGGTAGAAAGGAGACAAAGGGAAAACCCAATGTCCTGGATAAAAATTTGAGAACTATCCCAACGCAACCAGGATGTCTTCTCTCCCTGCTTTACAGCACCAGAGAAATGTCCCAGAAAGGCAGCATGCTATAAATAAAACTGATTCTTAAATCACAGCGAGTGCCAGAGACTGATCAGAAGCCACACTAAAACAAAAAATACAATCTCAGATCCAACAAGGTGTGAATGAGCATGCCTAACTTGAACATTTGACCCCTTCCAGAAAACAAACCACACCCTCAATCCAGTCCAAATCCCAGACAATTGGCATTTGTTGACAAATAGGAGTGAAGATGGGTTAACTCACATCTCTTTGAGATGCTCTTCCTCACCTCTCACTCCAAACACATGGCAGCTGTTAGACCTTCTCATTGCCATGACTGTATTTTCCTGCAGAAGGTCTGTCAGCTGTCACTCCTCTATCCCCAGCACATCTCTGCAGATAATCTTATATACCTTAAATTCCCACCTCCTCCCAAATACATTGAAGATCTCCATGTCCTTTACAACTTATGATCACAAAAAACAGAGGATACTCTTATTCCTTTCCTACAGAGAGAAGCCTAAATTTCAGAGGGAAAAATCACCTTCTTGGGGACACACAGATCATCAGGGGTACAGTCATGAGGAGCCCACAAAGTCAGTCTTGTATCTACAGAACTCTCTATTTCTGTGGCATTTTTGTGCTACTTCGTATGTATGGTCAGAACTTTGTTCACCAAATGCTACAAGGACCAACCTGAAGGCTACTGAAGAGCTTTTAGAGGAGATAAGGGATGCTGATTTCACAGTTCAAGTGAAGCAGATACCTTGATTCCTCCCCAGGAGTGATTAGACAGGAACTCCACAGGGCTTGTGACTCTGGTCTGTGCTGGGTATCTTAGTAGGAAATCCAGTTCTGCTGTGTTGATTTCTTTACTCATCAGGAGTATCTGTAATTCCAAACAAACAAGAGATCCTTGAGCACCAATATACTCCAGCAGATTAATTATTCTCAGCAGATTAATTATTAATTATAACTCAGGTAGCTGCCAAATGTGTGGCTGAAAAGTACACAGTGCCCCATGTTGGAGGGGTGTAATGAAACATACCATATAGGTGCTTTGGTCTCCCAAAAGAGGACCAGGAACGAGTATGGAGATTGGCAACATGAGAGGATCAAAGTTTGGGAAAACTATGTAGCAAGGGCTGTGATCCAGGTTCACAGATAGCACGTTGAGAAGTCCCTTCCAGCAGAGACACAAACTGCAGGGTGTACTGCAGGTCCCTGTGCTTGATATTTGCAGCTAGAGAACAGATAACTTTCTTGAAAGGAACCAAAGCATTCATCCCTAGTGCATAGAATCATGGAATGGTTTGGGTTGGAAGGGACCTCAAAGACCATCCAGTTCCAACCCCCCTGCCATGGGCAGGGACACCCTCCACTACACCAGGTTGCCCAAAGCCTCATCCAGCCTGGCCTTGAACACTGCCAGGGATGGGGCAGCCACAGCTTCTCTGGGCAACCTGTGCCAGTGCCTCACCACCCCCATTGTGAAAAATTTCTTCCTTATATTGGCATGCTACCAAGCTCTTGACCGTCTCTCACTACCTTGTTCCACTTTGAAAGTGGAGAAAGTTCAAAACAAAACAAACCAACCAAAAAACCCAGAAAACAAAACCAAATCAAACTGAAAATGAAAAACAAACACACACACACACACATAAACCTTACGGTACATACATCAAGAGAATAAGTGGGTCCCAAACACTGGGGAGCAGCTGGGCCAGTCAGCTGTTGCAAATGTTTTTACCACCAACAAGTGGCTTTTGGGAACACAAGGACTAAGACTGCCAGAGCAATGCTGAAGGTAATTCTGGAAAGCCACACGTGTTCATGAACCCAGCTGGAGCCACTGCTCCATGTGCACTGCCAGAGTTTGGAAATCTCAGAGACAGATCTCCAAAACCCTGAACACCAGTTCTGGGTGGAAAAAGAGCAGAGCTGCAGTGGTGAGTTTGTCATTTCCCTGTCACAGATCCTAAATGTGTCTCATTATTGCCTACTGGGCAAGGGCATCTGAAGTGTGCCTGGCATCTCTTCCACCACTGATGGTAATGAGCCACCCAGTTCAAGAGCCAACTGCTTTTTTATGCGGGTGAATCCTGTGCCTCATCACTCAGCTGCCTCCACACTCTGCAATTGGGGATACTGGTTTTCCTGGCAGCTTAAAAGTGACCCATTAACTATTTTTAATGCTTAACGTAGTTCCAAACACAATGTGTGCTACTTGAATACTTTATTTAGAGATATGTGTTAGAAAATTTAGGGATCCTTTGGGTCACAATTAAGGCTGACATTGCAAAATATAAGCTGATGTTTTACACACAGACAATTTATTAACTAAATATATTGTTCAGGTCAATTTTTTAATATATGTATATATATCTCTGTGTATATATATACACATACGTTCCCTTTTACACACTAGAATTTGTTAAGTAGAATTAAAAAAAAAAATCCTGACAATCACGGGATCCAGGTTAACTGGACCTGCACAGTGTTTGAGCGGTTCCAACTCGGTTCATATCTGCCTTCTACATGTCAGGGCGTTTACACAGCCATTCACTGCACAAACTTCACAATAACTTTGCAATATCATGCCAAGTGCTATTTATTGATTGAATTTGATTTCAGCGTAGGAACATACAAAGGTCTTCTTGCTCAGATCAGAGACCAAAACTTCTACTAACATACTAGACAAAAGACAGACACTACGTAGCACGCATTTCTTTTGGATAAAACCAATAACCTTCAAGACCAGCTCACTTTACCCTGTTTTTCAGGGGCTGCAAGCAGGTATTACTCTCTCAAACCATTTGTCAGCATAATGCAAATCAAACACAGCATCTGTGACTGTTACCAGCAAGAGAGGCAGAGAAGAAAATCAGTTCCCCAGCCCTTGTATTTGCTGCTCTGATGCTGAAGGCCACAGCTGCGACAGTTCGAGCTTTCTCTGCGTGCCAGTATCTTTGTCTGTAAAATACACCATTGCATACAAATTGCACGAAATGGTGGTGTTTACCTGGAAGGTAACTTGAGCAGTGTAGGTCAATTTATCACACTCAAACAACCCCCGGGTTGTGTACTGGAACACGGAGAAGGTAATGCTGTCGATGAGGTTCAGCACGCGCCCTGTGAGGCTCTCAGCTGGAGGTGCCCTCTCAATGGCTTTCTGAAACACGATGCTGAACACCTGGATGGGCAGACACAGAAAGACACCCATGGTTTCTAGATGCTCTTTGCACGCTCCTGGGTACCACCTGAAGTGTTGCAATAAGTGAAGCCAACTCAGACACTTCATCTCTGGAGCCATAAACAAAGCATTCCCATCTTGCCCAGCAGTGTGGCCACCAGCTCCAGGAGGCAAGGGAACAACATTTACAGACCAGACCCTCCATCTGCCTTTAGCTGATTTTCAGGAACATACAGCCAGGCAATGATGGCATACCCTGTGACATTGCACTCTCTTGGGCTTGAGAAAGTAGTGCAGAGACTGGCTGATGGAATTAAGACACAATGGATATAGGACACATTTCTCTGACCAAGTACGTTCCCTCATCAGGATTACACAGTCCACTTTCTCTGCAAATGTTGAGCCAAGAGACAGTGGTGTTCCCAGAGGAAAGCATACCTCCCGTTTCACAAATGTTTCAACTTAGAAAAAAGCAGAAATGCAAAAAAAAAGTCCAATGAGTATTTTAC